GAATTTTATTTCTGTGGTATCCTTGAACACAGCGTCTTCTCGACATGATGTAAACACACTAACTAGCGGAAGTGTTTGTGGGCAGGTCAGACTCTGTTCGTATTTCGCGGGCAGGCGGGGATTATGCAGATGTGTTACCCAATGACGTATACCCGTAACAGGCAAAAGATTAGAAAATATGACGACTCGTTAAGGCAATTTAGAATCGACTCTGTCTTTTGAGAGACAATATCGTTATTTATCATGCACATTTTTTGATTAACAACTTTGCAGATTGTTTTCATTTAAGGATAGCTACGTTATAAACTGCAAAAGAGATATTTTTCAAAAACCCATATGACCTGCTCTTTAAGAATCAACATTCTGACGATCTTTGATGTGGCATGACAGATTGCTGTAGCGCCAGTTCAAACGGCAGCACAGAGCGAGTGATCATGATCATCTCTTCCTCTTTACAATTATTTATAGCATAAAATAAACATGAATGATCAATGTTTCAACCAAGGAAAGACTAAAATAAAACAGCTCGTAAACGTTGCATAATGATACGTTTACCGCAGGTAGCCTTATGTGACGTTTATGAGCTGTTTTATTGGAAATCTGTCTGTGGTTGAAGCGTACCAAACCGAAAAACCTGTACCGGAAAACCTGTTATGAAAATATGGGTTACACTTTATTTCGATAGTCCACTTTAGACATTCTATTAACTACAAGTAACTTTGTAACTACATGTCAACTACATGTCAACCAATTCTCATTAATTTGCAACTACATGTCTACTAACTCTCAGAGTAGACTGTTAGTGTAGGTTTAGGGTTAGTGGAATAAGTTGACAAAGAAAGTGTTAGAAGATATTAAGCAGACAATCTACTAATACTCTACTAACTGCTAGTTGACATGTAGTTGCAAAGTTACTTACTGCTAATAGAATGTCTAAATGCTGAAATCAAAACAGGGACGATAATAGGTGAGCACCAGCCAATGAGATTGCCGTTAGCGCATTAGTTCCGCCCACAACCGGAAAACCCGGCAGTTCTTAAAATCTAAAGAATTCCAAAGGAACGCTGTTATTTTGACAAGAAAATACAACA